GACTGCTCTCTCCAAACACTCTAGAGGGAAAATCCATCTCCAAACCTTTTCTGACAGCTTCTAGAGTGACAGTTGTTTTTTTTTTTTTTCTTCCTCTCCTGGTCCCTTCTTTCCTCTTCAAAGCCAGAATCACATCATCTTCACATCTTCCTCTGCTTTTATCACCTTTTGCCTCGCTTGGCCTTTCTGCTTTACTCTGATAAGGATCCTGGTGGTTACACTTGGGGCTCCTCCAAATAACTGAGGATAATCTTCCTATTTTCAAAGTAATATCAGTAAAGTCCTCTTTGCCATATAAAATAATATTCCCAGATCCTAGGGGTTTGGATGTGGACATATTTGGGGGCCATATTCAGTTTACCACAGCTGTTGACCACTGTTGAATTGTGTCCCCTAAAAAGACATGTGGAAATTTGACTCCCTAGTGCCTTAGAACGTGGCCTTATTTGGAAATAGGATCTTTGCAGAGATGTGCAGGCAGGTCTCTGAGATACTGTGAGTTCGGTTCCAACTGCCCTAAGCAAGTCCAATGAAATTTTTGGTTTCCCAGTGCATAGAAAAATTATGTTTACACTCTATTGTATTTGGTTAAGTGTGCAATAGAATTGGCAAAAAACTCAATACATAATCACCTTAACTACCACATATTTTATTGCCAAGAGATGCTAACAATCATCTGAGCTTTCAGCAAGTTGTAATCACTGATCGCGATCACCATAACAAATATAATAATAATGAAAAGTTTGAAATAGTGTGAGAGCTATTGTGACAGAGACACTAAATGAGCAAATGGTGTTGGAAAAATGGCGCAAACAGCCTTGTTACACATGGGGTTGCTGCAAGCCTTCATGTAAGGTCTCAAGCCTTTTGTAAAAAATGTGATATCTAGAAAGCACAGTAAAATAACATATGCCTGTAATCAATTTAAAATGAGGTCATTAGGTGGGCCCAAATCCAATGTGACTTGTGTCCCTCCCTCTGAAGATGTAGAAACACAGGAAGAAAACGGAGCCAGAAGTCAGAGTTATGCTGTCACGTGCCAAAAAAATAGCAGAGGCTACCAGCTGAAAAATAAGGCAGGTTTCTCTTTGAAAGCCTTCAGAGGGACAGGAGCCTGGCAGCGCCTTCTGATTTCTAGCCTCCAGAACTATGGCAGAATAAATCTCTGTGGTTTTAAGTCACTCGGTTCATGGTACTTTGTTACATCAGCTCTACCACCCAATATAAATACTAAAATTTTACATAATAGAATTCTATTTAAGTTTTTACATTAAATCTCAGATTTGTTTAAATCTCAGACGTTCCTTCTTGATGGTACTATTAACCACTGACTCTGGTCAAATACTGATTTTTAACACTTGGGAGACTTACTCTAAATATGCAGTTGGAACCCCTCCATTTTTTTATCTACCCTATTTGGCCTCTTTGAGACCTTCCAGGACAAAAGGCCAGCTATTATCTTTTATGCTGGGAAATCATGTGTTATTATTTCTCAAATATTTCAAGATTCAAACTAGTTTAAATAAAAATATGTCAGGCAAATGGGCTTAACTGGATGTCCCGAGGTACAGCAGGGCTCCGAGGTTGGCTGAATTCCATGAGTGGCTCAGAACTCTGATTCTCCCCTGGAGATGTACCTTCATCAAGTGTTGTCTACAATTCTTTGCCTTCACACCCCAGAGCACTCCATTCTCCTTTGTTCTTCAAGGCAAAGAAACTTCTTTCCCAAAAGATAAAAGCAATCTACGTTTCCTTACTCAGTTACTTCAATTTCTGAAATGTTTGTGCTAATGGGATCCATCTAGGTTCCTAAACTAATCAATGCTCAAAGGGGGCTGGGATTACACTTCAAGCAATCAGGCCAACCCTGTAAGACCAGTTTTCTGGGAAACACATGGGACAGGGGTTCTCAAATTTGCCTGCCTATTAGAGTCACCTGGAGTGCTTTTTAAACATCAATCCAGGTGCAGTCTCTTAGATCCCAAACCACTTGGGTCAGAATTTCTGGGGCTGTCATCCAAGCATCAGTTTTTAAAGTTCTCCAGGTGATTCCAATGGACGGTCAAACCTGAGACACACTTAAGGGGTTAGGTGGATTCCTTAATGAAAATCAGGACGTGGGCACATGGATGGCTCAGTGGGTTAAGCGTTGGATTTTGGCTCAGGTCATGATCTCACGGTTTGTGAGTTCGAGCCCCACGTTGGGCTCTGTGCTGACAGCTCAGTCTGGAGCCGGCTTCAGATTCTGTGTTCCCTCTCTCTCTCTGCCTCTCCCCCTCTTGGGGGTGGGGTGGGGTGTGTGTGTGTGTGTGTGTGTGTGTGTGTGTGTGTCTCAAAAATAAACATTAAAAAATTAAAAAAAGATTAAGATGTTATTAAAAAACAGAAAAAGAAATAGAAATGCTACAGTCAGTAATATATATTATAGGACTATCAGCTACTAAGTTGTATTTGATAACAAACACATAAGAAATAGCATTTGAAGAATATATTAAGGAAAAATAAGGAAAAATAATCTGGAAGAATACTTTCAGGTGACAGTCCCTTGTCCTCTCTCCTCTGTTTGTGTTCTTTTCCTGGAGTCCTACATGCACTCTCAAAGTGCCGACTCCATATATCCACCTGAATATGAAAAAGCTTCTCAAATTTAAATCAGGACTCTGGATCATTCTTCAGTGCCCCCAAACCCGTATTAATCCTAATTAACAGCACCAGTGATTCAAATAAAAAACTTAGGGGGATTGCTCTTAACTAAATCTTTATATTTTTTTGTTTATTTTGAGAGACAGAGGATGAATGGGAGAGGGGCAGAGAGAGAGGGAACACAGAATCTGAAGCAGGCTCCAGGCTCAGAGCTGTTAGCACAGAGCACGGCGGCTGGAACCCACAAAACATGAGATCATGACCTGAGCCGAAGTTGGAAGTTCAACCCACTGAGCCACTCAGGCGCCCCAACTCTTAACCAAATCTCATTCCTCACCAAAGCCTATCAATTTTACCTCCAAAATAGAATCCCAATTCCAACATACTCAACCGTCATCATTATTATCACTGTATCACAACAGGTCTAGACTCCCAGTGGTTCTTGCACTTTAGCAACCATCAGAATCACCCACAGGATCTGTTAACACAGAGTATTGGGGCCTGAAATTTTCATTTTTAATCGATTCTCAGGTAATACTGACAACTAACTACTCACCTGGAGACCAGACTTTTAATCATGCTTTCCTGCACAACACTGCTATCGAGCCTCTTCATTGGTTTTCTTGTTTCTACTATGGACAACCTAGAATTTAGATCCCCTAAGCAACCAGAGTAATTTTTTCTTCTTAAAGGAGCAGCAGGCAAAATTTTATTAGAATATAAGATCTGAAAGTATGAATAACAAGAAGGCTCTCTTTATGGAGGGGGCATTGGCAATACTCCGAGTATCTATAAGGCTAATGAGGTGTGTTGTGCAGATCCTTGCCTAAAACAATCCAAGAGTTCCAAGAACACTGAGAACAAACTCTCAAGCCAATTAAACTCCTTTTGACTTTCCTAGCCATATTGGGGCTTTCCACTTGTCTAGCATTTTACGTTCTTTCCTGCTTCAGAAATTACGCATGTATTGCACCCATTGTGTGGAAATAGCCTTTAAATTGGACAAGCTTTTCTAATATTTTTCCCCGTGACCATATATTAGGCAGGTTTTGCAGATTTGCACCAGCATTAAGGGTTAACTACTAGGTACCTAATCCGTGTCAATTTTCCTAATTGAGGAATCTTCACGTAAATGAAAAAATAAAAATAAAAAAAGCAGATGCTTGTGAATCAGGGATACCAAGGTGACGAATTTGTCGGAACCAAAAATAAGTTATCCCTTAGTACTTCACAACTGGGAGGCACATAATGTTAAGATTTAAGTACCACCACCGTTTTACCAACTGGGAACGAGAGAAGATTGCACCTTTCTTATCCCAACAATTTCCTTATTCTCATTAGCAAGTTACTAAAAACCAAAACTATTCTCAACGTTAACAACTTAGCAACGCACGCGTTCATCTGTACGCAACAAAGCCAAAGCCAGTGTCAAGGACACTCCTCTACAAGCCACAGCATACCTATCCCCCACTACGTTCTTCACCAACCTAACCAGGCATGAACTATTCTGTGGCCCAACTAAAAAAGAAAATAAACCATATTTGTGCTTAACGAGAGTGATTCACTGCACTACAAGAAAAACCCAAAGGACAAACTAGAACCCATAATACAGCAATAAACAGCTTCTTTCACCGAGAAGGTGGGTGGCTCTGAACAGAGCCTTTGGAGTCCAGCGGCCGGCAACCCGTGCGAGCGCCCTGTCCCTGCAGGGACTCACTTGGAGCTGGTATACTTGGTGACGGCCTTGGTGCCCTCGGACACGGCGTGCTTGGCCAGCTCGCCGGGCAGCAGCAGGCGCACGGCCGTCTGGATCTCCCGGGACGTGACGGTGGAGCGCTTGTTGTAATGCGCCAGGCGGGAGGCCTCGCCGGCGATGCGCTCGAAGATGTCGCTGACGAACGAGTTCATGATGCCCATGGCCTTGGACGAGATGCCGGTGTCGGGGTGCACCTGCTTGAGCACCGTGTACACGTAGATGGAGTAACTCTCCTTGCGGCCGCGCTTGCGCTTCTTGCCGTCCTTCTTCTGGGCTTTGGCAACCGCCTTCTTCGAGCCCTTCTTGGACGCAGGAGCGGATTTTGCCGGCTCGGGCATCGCGGGAAGCGCAAGACGCCGGACGCCGGTGCCAAAGCTACCGGAAGCGGCTCAGCACTAATAGAGGCCCTAGACCAACGAAGACTGTGGCTACGCAGCGCCGTGGTTCGCGAGCTTTCCGCGCCGCTGCCGCGAGGGGGACGAGATTATGGAAATGAGTGGATTCATGCTGAGCCAGCCTATTGGTCGTCGGAACAAAGCTCTGCCTTAGCCAATCAAAGTGCTCCGTAGACAATCCGGGTTCTGCCTATAAAGGGCTGAAGCCGAGCCGTTTGTCGCTATTTCTTCGGTTGCTAACGGGGCGTTTTTGTTTGTGCGTTGTTGTCATGTCTGGTCGTGGCAATCAAGGAGGCAAGGCCCGCGCCAAGGCCAAGTCGCGCTCGTCCCGCGCCGGCCTGCAGTTCCCGGTGGGCCGAGTGCACCGCCTGCTGCGCAAGGGCAACTACGCCGAGCGGGTGGGGGCCGGCGCGCCGGTGTACATGGCGGCCGTGCTGGAGTACCTGACGGCCGAGATCCTGGAGCTGGCGGGCAACGCGGCGCGAGACAACAAGAAGACGCGCATCATCCCCCGCCACCTGCAGCTGGCCATCCGCAACGACGAGGAACTGAACAAGCTGCTGGGCAAAGTCACCATCGCCCAAGGCGGCGTGCTGCCCAACATCCAGGCCGTGTTGCTGCCCAAGAAGACGGAAAGCCACCACAAGGCCAAGGGCAAGTGAGGCCGGTGTCCGCAGCTCCGCCAGCCCTGGTCGCGAAGGGGCGCCCGTGAATCAAAGGCTCTTTTAAGAGCCACCCACCCTTTCAAGTAAAGAGTTGTGAACAGTAGTCGGTGTTTTGCTTTGCACCTTAACCAGTAGTCGGCCGAGCCCGGAGGCCGGGAGGTGGGGCGTGGGTTGCCACCCACTACTGTCGGGCCGCCCCCTGACTCTTGTGAGAAGTAGGTGCCAAGTCCGCGACTCCCACAGTGGGCGAGGCCTTAGCCCAACGCACGTGCACCCCCAGTCGGCAGGGGAGCTGGCAGTATTCGGGAGTATGGCGGCCCCTGACCTTGGCTTAGTTGGAGTCGGCTGTTTTAAAAGTTAGGAGCCGCCTTCGCGGCAGAAGTATATGTCCCCAGTTAAGTTTCCCGGTTGGGATCTCGCGCTGTGGAGGCGAGGGGGGGGGGGGGGGGAAGGCCGACCAAGGCCGGGAAAAAAGATCCACTGGACCAACGAAGGGGCTCTTCGGAAACGAGGCGCTTTGAGGAGCAGGGAGCAAAAGGAAGATTGAAGTGGAGTAGGGGAGACAGCGAGGGACTGAACAGCGTATCACGTTCTAAGGGAGCGAAGTGTTGAAGGCCTGGGAAGAAAAATGCAGACACAGTCGCGGTCGAAAATGACCCCCTTTTCCCCCTCCGCCCCCGCTCGCCCGCGGAAAAGAAAGGAAAAACACGGTAGGGAAAGACTCAGCCAACTGGAAAGGAGAAAGCGAGGCGGGTGGGCGGGGCAGGGAGGATTTGCCCGCACCAATGAGTGATGCCAGGAGGTGACGTCACGGCCAATGGTCAGGCAGCGCGGGACTTTCAATTATCGCCCCGCCCAACCGGAATAAGACGGTGGCTATAAAGGCTGCCGCGGCGGGCCGAGACCCGTTCCTCCCGCTGCCGCCGCTGCCGCGCTCGGACGCTCTTGTCTTGGTTGGCAATGGCCCGCACGAAGCAGACCGCCCGCAAGTCGACCGGCGGCAAGGCCCCGCGTAAGCAGCTGGCCACCAAGGCGGCCCGCAAGAGCGCGCCGGCCACGGGCGGCGTCAAGAAGCCGCACCGCTACCGGCCTGGCACGGTGGCCCTGCGCGAGATCCGTCGCTACCAGAAGTCCACCGAGCTGCTTATCCGCAAGCTGCCGTTCCAGCGGCTGGTGCGCGAGATCGCGCAGGACTTCAAGACGGACCTGCGCTTCCAGAGCTCGGCCGTGATGGCGCTGCAGGAGGCGAGCGAGGCCTACCTGGTGGGGCTGTTCGAGGACACGAACCTGTGCGCCATCCACGCCAAGCGCGTCACCATCATGCCCAAGGACATCCAGCTGGCTCGCCGCATCCGCGGGGAGCGGGCTTAAGTGCGCGCTCGGCTCGAGGTTCCATCCTAACCAAAGGCTCTTTTCAGAGCCACCCACGACGGCACCTGAAAGCAGCTGTGCCGCTTGTCCGAAGCTTCCGTGCTCCCCGCATCCCGTAGCCTGGGATCAGCATCGTGAGGGTGGGTACTAGGCTAGGGTAAGGGCCAGACCTCCCTGCAAGGTAGGTCGCGAGACCAGGTGCCGAGTCTACAGGTCTCGGGTGCACCGAGGTTGGCTTTTTCAGTAGTGGGGATCCGCGCGCTGATCCTCCTGCGCCCGCGCCCTTCCCAGCCCCGCCGGAAGTGGCATCAATTGGCGAGGCGCTCCGGCTAGGGGGCGGGAATCCGCCGCCTCCGCAACGCAGGCTGTCTGTCAGGTCATTTTCGGGATCCCCGACCTCTACCTGCACTCGGGTGTCCGTAACGCCCAGGCTTCCCTGGGAGCGGGACATTTAACGTTGCCGTTAGTCCCCTTTCCACCCGGTTTGTCAAAACTCCCTTGTTCGCTCGAGTGATTTGGCCAGATGTCTGCCGCTTTTGACATTCTCGCTGTCCTCAACCCCAATCTTGCCTGCCCCCTCTCCTTGTCCCCACCTTTTCTTTTTCTAATTCCCAGGAACCTTAAGGAATTCAGTACGGGCGGCTCCTGGCAGGAATAGGACAGAGGGTCTGGCTCGTGTGGCCCAGCATTCAACTCTGACAGTCCGATGGCTTTCGCCATAACAGCGGCGGCGGGGAGGTAGACGGACCCCGCTTCAAGGGCCTCCTTCACCCAAGGCCACTCCCCGGGAGCTCTGCCTGGTCCGTATCGTTCCCGGCTCCCGTCCACAGCAGGACGCGATTCTTCAGGAGGACAACCTCACACGCAGGGAGTTTGAGGAGTTTTGTGCAGATACTTGAGTTATCCAGCGCGGGGCGCTCACTAGTTCAAGCTCTCGGGCGGCTGGAACCAAGGGAAGGAGGAGCGCCCTACTCGCTTCCCCTCCTTGCCCGCGTCCGTGCGGTGCTCACAATCTGCGGTGGGCGGAGACTTGAGTTTCTCTCGAAGGGGCGACTCTTACACCAGATGAAATGGACATCTTAACGCCTCTTGGGTCTTAGAAATGAGTGTGTTTATCTAGAAGAGGGGGCAGGACCTTGGAAAGCTGACATGATCTCGCAGTTTGTGGGTTCGAGCCCCGCGTCGGGCTCTGTGCTGACAGCCAACTCAGAGCCCGGAGTCTGTTTCGGATTCTGTGTCTCCCTCTCTCTCTGACCCTCCCCTGCTCACACTGTCTCTCTCTCAGAAATAAATAAAAACATTTTTTAAATTCTTTAAAAATTAAAAAAAATAAAACGTCATTAGGATGTGCCCTAATCCTATATGAGTAGTGTTCTTATAAGAGGAGACAGGGACACAGTCAACACCAGGGGGCGACCAGGAGAGGACACGTGAGAAGGCGCCATCTGCAGCCCAAGGAGAGACCTCCGAGGAAACCAAATCTGATGATATCTTCATCTTGGACTTCTTTATAAAAAAATTTTTAAGCTTTTATTGACTTAATTTGAGAAAGATAAGGACCAGCAGGGGGTGGGGGAGCATCTCTAGCAGCCTCCATACAGCACGGAGCCCGACGGGGACCTGGAACCCACAAGCAGTGAGATTATGACCTGAGCCAAAGTCTGGCACTTAACCAACTGAGCTCCCCAAGAGCCCCTTGATCTTGGACTTCTAGCCTCTAGAACTGGGAGTAGATATGTTTCTGTGTAAGCCCCGCAGTCTGGTGTTTGGTGAGGGCAGCCCTAGGAAATCCATACAGGCTCTGTGGTCTGTGCCCAGGGCCCCAATCCCTGCTCCCACCTACCTACATACGTGATGGGGTCCCCTGTGACTTAGCCATAAGCAGAAGCAGCAGTGACTCGCAGCTCTGCGGGGCTGACACCTTTGCACCCGGCATCTCGTCCGTTTGGTTTCCAAAAGCGCAGCCTGAATCCTCAAAGGGAGAATAGAGTCCAGAGCGGCAGAGCCATCCGTGGCTAAGCAGGTGTGTCCGTGCCCGGGCCCCTCCTCCTCGGGATCCCACGCCCTGAGCTGCTACTGCATCAGCTCCAAAAGCAAGATACCAACCAGCCTAAAATACCAAAGATGCCCGAGACCTGCCCGTGGCCCTGAGATGTGAGGGCAGCCTGGGCACGCATGCGGGGGTAAGGGGATGGCCGTGATCTGCCTCCGCCCCTCTCCTCGCGTTTCTACCCACTTTGCTCCCCCCGCCACACCCGTGGGGTGCTGGTTCCCCAGACGCCTCGGTGGCAGGGTGTGGAAGGAAGAGAGCAAAGCAGAGGAGGAAGAGCACTGGGGAGTTAGGGCCTGGCCCCTCACTTCCCTGCTTGGTCTTAACTGGGTTCCTGTCAAAGGCGAGCCCCTCCGAGGAAAGGCCTTCCTTGTCTGTGTCACTCAAGCCTCTGTCAGCGCTCCTACACAACAGCAGGTCCGGGTTTTGATTGTGGAAGAGGTCTCTACGTACAGAGAGGGCTTCTGGGGTACAACCCGAGGCTCTCAGGCCCTGGAGGGGCTGCACAGGCCCTCGAACCTGTGATGGTGCTTAAACGCTCAGTCCTCCACATCCTGTGGTTGCCTCAATATCACATTGCTTTCATTTCGCAGCCTGAGCACCTCTAGCCTCAGGAAGTCTCCCTGTCTGAACCCCAAAGGGAAATTTAGTGGCATTGTTCAGCCTACCCTCCTAGCCATCTTTCCACTCGTTCTGTTAGGAGGATCGCGCAAACCGGGGACATCAATAGAAGATAACAGTTTAAAATGTAAGGGTTCGCTTATAAGCATTTCTGTACTTAAATCGATTTCTACTTTTGGGTGAGAGTTAAAAGATAGTTGAGGACAAGGTAAATAAAGGCTCTGCCTGTAATAATTAGCTTCTACATGGCTAGCTTGGAGCAGGAAAAGTCTACCCTGAACCTGGGTTTTTTAAGATGTGAAAAACAGTTTTTGTTCAGATTTAAAAATGCCTTAGGGTAGCAGGGGGTGGGGGGTGCATGGATAGAGAGGGTGTTGACACTGCCCTGGCTTCCAGGAAGAGGCGTTGGCCTCTGGGTTCACCCCCTCTCCCGGTCTTCCTTATCATCCTCCACATCTGCATCTTAACCTTCTCATGCCCTCCTCTTTCTCCGCCAGGCCCACCAAAATATTCCCAATGTCATCCATGCTGGCCTTGGCTTTTTTCCCCCCTGCAGCTCAAACGAGATCATGGATTTCCTGCTTGCCCTTTCTCTGGCCTCCCTCAAGTGCTCGCAAGTTCGTATCTTCTGCTGAGTCCCGCGTCCTGAGCTCTACACCAATATTTCTAACTGCCCGGTGGCTAGTTCCTTCTAGATAGGCGCTTCGAATTCAGCTTATTTCCAAAAGTGCATCATCTTGCTTCCCAAAGCTATTTTTCCCCTTCCGTATTCCGCGTCTTCCTGAAAGATACCTCCATCCCCTAGTCTGTTCAGGGCAGACGCTCCTTCTTCTTGTCCTGTGTCCAAATGTCATGAGTCACCAAATGTTATCAAGTCTGCTTTCTGACTTGGAATTCCATCACCCTTTCTCTATCCATACTGATCCCTTTGTAGACTTGAGCCCCCCACCCACCTGGCTCTGGAGGATTAAGTGTTCAGTCTAGACTCGCTGCCCTGCCACGAGGCTTCCATGCTGTGTGACAGCTGTCTTTTTTAAAGAGCATTTTCTTGAGCCTCTCACTCTCGTGCTTTATTTTTTTCCACCTCCTTCCCATTCGCTTCAGGTTAAAGTCCACCTTCTTCTGCATGGTAGTTCAGAGCGATGGAGGTTAATAACTAGTAGGGACTCTGCCGTGAGACATGCCCAAATTTGATGGCCTTGCCCCTCTAACAGTTATGTGACTGCAGAGGCCAGTAAGTAAATCTCCAAAGGCCCCACACGTTCCATTTGTAAAAGGGGCAATAGCATCTTGCTACTAGTGTTCTGGGAAATATTAAAAGTGACAATTCCTATTAGGAACCCGGCACTGTGTCTGGTCCAGAAGACCAAGCCCTATGTAGCCTCCCCTTCCCCTCTCCTCTTTGCTCTCATCTCTTTGGGCCCTCCTCCCTGCATCTCCCTCTTGCATCCCTTCCTTATACCTCTTCCTATATGCTACCCTCGGCATGAGGCCAGCAGCGTTCCTCAGGGTGAAGATCGTGTTGTTTTCTCTCTCGTTCATCCCTGAGGCCTCAGCCTTGAGCAGCGCCTGGAAGCCACAGGTAGTGAGGAAATGTTTGGCGAGGGACCTACACTACCTGCCCATTGACACTTGCCTTACAGGAGAGAATGGGGATCAAGAGGCCCCAGCTCTTGAGGTCCTTGCAATGACAGGTCAAGAGCAGGTCTGAACTGGACCTCTGCAAAGAACTTCCAGGGTCCTCGTGGACGGAGGTGGGGGTGGGGGGTGTCTTGGAACAGGGGAGCAGGAAACTGCTCGTGGGCGGGGCGTGTGGAAAACCTGGTCCTGTGATAGTAACGGCGCAGAGTTCACTGAGCCACACCCCCACCGGCACCCCTAACCTGTTCCTGAAAGCAGATGGTCTGGAGCGGAATGTCTTTAGTTCCCTAAAGACATCAGTTTTAGCCCTGCTGGTAGGATTTGTTTGAGATGTGATGGGGGAATGGGGGAATGGAGCAGAGCAGAGAGAGTAGAGTGTGCACAGCAGAGGTGGCCAGAGGAGGGCAGAGAAGGGATAGAAAACGAAGTCTAGGGTCCTTGCTGCTACGAACTAGGGCTGAGGCCTGAGGCCTTTGTGGAAGGACCAGGGATCCTGGCCCCTATCCAGGGAGAGGCTCCAAAGAGAAAAGACTGGGATCTCCATTTCCTCGTCTGTAAAGCAGGATCATAATTGCACCCACTTCAGGAATGTTACGAGGGTGAAAAGAAACCATACAGTCCACACTAAATGCTTGGAACAGAGCCTTACATGTGGTCATAAATCAGTATTCATAGTCTCATTAACGTTGACAATGTAAATATTAGTGACATTAATATGAATCGATGTAAGTCCAAGTTACAGCTCTGCCGTAAAACATAAAAGTTGATGAATAATCTTAAATATATGACCAGCCTCTAGACTGTGTGGCCCAGGCGGTAATAATACCCAGGTTCCTAGATGGCTTCTAGCTGATGTTTTACCACCCCTCCTCTCACTCAGTTTCACAATAACCCTGGGAGAGAGGAAGGGCTTTTTTTTTTTTTTTTTTTTTTTTTAATTCCTGTTGAATAGTTGAGGAAACAAAACCTGGTGAGGGAAACACACCTGGGAATGTGGGTCACCCAGCCAGAAGATAGTCTTGAACTTGAGTCTTGTATTTTGCTTTTCTTTCTGTATTAGACTCATTGCTTCAAAAGAAAAAAGCAATACATCCAATACTAACAGAGATACACAATCACTGTATCAGCAGCTCTGATTTCTGCGGACTTCAAACTGCAGTAAGATGTAATTTTACAATACTACCTACTTCCTATTCACTCTCATCTAAAAATCAAAACCGGTTGTGCCAAAGCATTTTCCCCCCACGGGATGCACCTTGATATTTTCAGTCTCATTCGGCTTCATTAATAAAAGATACCGGTTCCTGTTTTCCAAGTTGGCTTTATCATGGAACGCCTTGGTGGCTCAGTCGGTTGAAGCATCCGACTTTGGTTCAGGTCATGATCTCTTGGTTCATGAGTTCGAGCCCCGTGTTGGGCTCTGTGCTGTCAGCTCAGTCTGGAACCTGCTTCGGATTCTGTCTCCCTCGATCTCTGCCCCTGCCCCGCTCACACACACTCTCTCTCTCTCAAAAATAAAAAAAAATTTAAAAGTAAATAAAAATAAAATGACTTTACCACCCGCTAACGGGTTATAACCTGCAACTGAAAACCACTTGCGATAGAGGAAATTATGGAGAACTAAGTAAAACCACCAACTCAAATGAAAAATTGTTATTTTGTTTACCTGTGATCCCAGCATCCCTGGGACATGAGAGCTCCGTGTGGACAATGCAGAGCCTGTTTGGGGTTCCCTCTCCCTCTTTCTTTCTTTTTTTTTTTTTATTTCTAGGAGGGAGAGAGAGAGAGCGTGAGCAGGGGAGGGTCAGAGAGAGAGTCACAGACTCCGAAACAGGCTCCAGGCTCTGAGCCGGCAGTCAGCACAGAGCCCGACGTGGGACTCGAACCCATGAACCGTGAGATCATGACCCAAGCGAAAGTCGGACGCTTAACCGACTAAGCCACCCAGGCGCCCTTCCCTCTCCCTCTTTCTCTACCCCTCCCACCTCCCCAATAAATAAATACATTCATAGTGAAGATACACAGTTGAGTCAGGAGAGGAGGGTGTGAAGCAGCCAGGTCACAGGCCGCAGGGACCCAGCTGGTGAGAGGTGCTGGAGGCAAGAACAAGGGAACCAGCCACAGTAATGGAGCAGAGGGAAAGTTTCAATGTCTTTGAATGTAGCAGATTGCCTGAGCCCGGGTGGGGGAAGGGACAGAGGAGGTGGTTGTGGCAAAAAGTAATCAAAGATACCTCGAGAACCGCCTGCCTGAGTGGCTAGAAAGATCCTGCCATTTTCACAGTAACAGGCAGCCTGGGAGGGGGTGCGCCTGAGGGCTTCACTTCAAGCTGCGCAGGGTCACTGCTGTCACCAGGCAGTGACAAGGGGCCGTGTCCTTCAGGCAGCTAGAAATGTAGATCTGGAGGTAGCTCCAGACCCAGCTGGATTCTCCTATCTGCCCTTAGGAGCTAGAGAAGCACTTGGGAGTCCCGGGGGAGAGCTTATAAAGAGATGGCCCCAAGGTCAGGCCTCTTAGGAACATGAACCCCAAGAGGGATCTGGTGGGAAATGGAAGCTGGCGCAAAGTTTTGTCCCAAAACCAGAGGGAAAATATAATGAGAAAATTAGACCAGATGGGGTCCTTTCCATCATCCACATTGAACGGGTTCGTTAAATCAATATGGCAAATCTATTTAAAGATCCTCATATTATTTGTGATTTGAAAGTTGCAGTAAGATTCAGGAGCACCAGAATGTATCAGAGAATGCCAGGTTTTGCAAGCTGCTTACACATCAGTTTCTTACGTTGAAAAATAAAGATATTATTGGCCTTGCGAGGTTGTTCTAAAGATGTGAAATGGTACATGGTAGGTAGTCAATAGATGGGAAGTGTTACGCATTCTTTTACTTAAAAATTCAAATCAGAAGTGTCTATAAATTTAACCCAAACGCCCACTTCAAATTTAGGGGAACTAGGGGCTTTCATGCCTCCTGCCTTCACTGTCTCTTTTTCTGATCTTCCCCAATTCTGCTGCCACCATTCTTGGTCAGGGCTCTCCATAGCTTACAACAGCCTCCTGTGATCCAGCTTGCACTCAACAGTTCACCCTCAGCTTGCTCGGAATCAACACGGATCTGCAAGCTTTAATCCATTGAGTCTAATCTCCCCTGCCTGGTCTCAAGGGTCTCCAAGAGTCAGCCCTTTAGGGTATGCTTAGCTGTGGTATTGTGATGTATAATAAAAAATATATATTTGGTGTTTGTCCTAATCTCTCATTCTATAGAAACTCTAAACTTCTGTATCAGTCTGCCTCATTGTTATTAAAAGACGCACAGTTTTTCATTTAATGGATGTGTCTTTAAATTTGTTTATTTATTTATTTTTGAGAGAGCATGAGCAGGGGAGAGGGGCAGAAAGAGAGAGAGAGAGAGAGGATCCCAAGCAGGCTCCGCCCTAACAAATTAGGCCAATATTCAGATTTAACTACTTTAGTTTCATTTAAAGAAACTGTTATGTAGATCAATGCTTCTCAAACTGGGTATCGTAATCACCTGAACGAGTTGTTAAAACACAAATTGCTAGGGGTTTCTGGGAGCTCAGTCGGTTGAGCACCTGACTTCGGCTCAGGTCATGATCTCACAGTTTGTGGGTTCCAGCTCCGCATCGGGCTCTGTGCCAACAGCTCAGAGCCTGGAGCCTGTTTTGGATTCTGTGTCTCCCCCTCTCTCTGCCCTCCCCTGCTCATGCTCTGTTTCTCTCTGTCTCTCAAAAAATGAATAAACATTAAAAAACATTTTTTTAACCCCCACAAATTACTAAATCTTACCCTAGCAATTTCTCACTCAATAGGTCTGGAGTAGAGCCAAGATTTTGCATTCCTAACAAGTTCCCAGGTGATTTGATGTTCCAAATTTCAGACACTTTGAAAAACACTACTTTAGATGATAGACATGTATTTTTTTTCCCCCTCCTCCCTTCCATTATTCTTTTGAGTTCTCTTCAAACTTTTGGGATCTGCTTCTCTGGAGTATCTTAGTTATGATCAGATATATTCAATCCTCACTGCCCTTAACATTAAAAAAAAGTACAGTGATACTTGAAATAGAAATCCTATCAGTTGCAGATGAGACCTAAAAATTTTTTTTAATATCTTCATTTGGAGAGACAGAGTGTGAACGGGGGAGGGCAGAGACAGAGAAGGACACAGAATCCAAAGCTGGCTCTGGAGCTATCAGCACAGAGCCCAACTTGGGGCTTGAACCCATGGACTGTGAGATCATGACCTGAGCCCAAGTTGGACGCCCAACCGACTGAACCAACCAGGTGCCCCTAGATGAGACTTTAAAAGGAAAATAAAAGCATCTTGAACACTGACTCCTCTTATTTACTTCTCACCTGGGCATCTTCACAAATGTTTTCCTTGCCTCCCTCCCCCCCTCCCCCCCTCCCCATACTGTGTATCTCCATAGGATGCCAAGCATTCTGCTTTCTTCAAAGCCTGTCACAAGCCCCACCTCCACAGCCAAAATTTTCCATTTCCCAGCAACCAGTAACTTCCATAGTAATTATTGTCTACGTTTCTCATCACACTAAATGTGTACTGCCATGCGCTATTCTGCCATATATGTATTTTCTGTATTATTTTTCTTCCCCATCCTGATAAGCTCGTAGGGGGCAAGTTTTGCATCGTTTGGTTTTCCGGCGGCATCTCCGTTTTAAACATGGTTCATCTTCAAGCGTTTGACCCTAATGAGGGCAGCCAAGTGTGGAGACCAAGAAAGCAAGAGCTGGCCTATCTTTGGGGAGCGGATAGGATTTCCTCTCAACCACATACATAACCAAATTTACCTGTAAAATTGTAAGCCTATAATGCTGACAAAACTTGTACTTGCAAATATAACTGAGGCAAAACTACAATTAGGCTTAAGGAAAAGTGATGTGGACCTACCCCATTTTAATCCAAATCAAGACAATTTTTTAAGAGGTAGAGTGAGCAGAGGGTCAGAGAGAGAGGGAGGTACAGAATCCGAAGACAGGCGACAGGCTCTGAGCTGTCAGCCCAGAGCCGGACATGGGGCTGGAACCCAGAAACTGTGAGATCACGACCTGAGCCGAAGTTGGATGTTTAAACTTTAAAGGCCCAACACCATCGGGGGGCATAACAGACACCTCTGGATTGCAAGCCAGTGAGTACCTTCCGCTTTGCCATAAGCGAAATGTAGTGAACTAGACGTGGCTCGTTCTTCCCTCCCACAGCCCAACTCACTGATCACAAGACCGCGCACCCCAAAACCAACTAGCTTAGATCTGGAATACAAGACCCATTAAAACTAACCAAAAAACGGAAGCGAACACAAGAAAGGCAGTTTTTAGTAAAGGACTACGGGCTTTAGGGCTGTTAACACTGCAGGAACCTCTGCCTGCCATAAACTTAAAACCCGACTCAAGTCCAACTCCCAAAAGCAGTTACTTAAGTTCTATCCAAGTGCCCAGCTCTTCCGAGGACTGGATGGGTGGCCCTAAAAAGGGCCGTTGGCATATGAATGTGGAGCCAAAGCGGTAGCTTAGCCTCCGAAGCCATACAGGGTGCGTCCCTGTCGCTTGAGGGCGTACACTACATCCATGGCGGTGACCGTCTTGCGCTTGGCGTGCTCGGTGTAGGTGACCGCATCCCGAATGACGTTTTCCAGGAAAACCTTCAGCACACCCCGGGTCTCCTCGTAGATGAGGCCGGAGATCCGCTTGACTCCTCCACGCCGGGCCAGGCGCCGGATCGCTGGCTTAGTGATCCCTTGGATGTTGTCCCTCAAGACCTTGCGGTGTCGTTTGGCGCCACCCTTACCTAAGCCCTTGCCGCCCTTTCCTCTTCCCGACATGGCGAGAATGAGCTGAAGACCCAATCTTTGCTAAAGGCAGAGCAGCTTTTCCCCTAATATACCAGAGGAGCGGACCAGATTGAGAACAGAAGGCTCCGGGCGGGAAGCCCGCCCTAAATGGTCCCCGCCCGCTCCTCGTTGCGTCATTTCTGCTACTTCTCTACTGGGTCTTCCTCGAGCTGCACGGCTCCCTCTAATGGAAATGGGACTCTTAACAACAATCTCTCGGCCGTAGTCCCCGGGATAATTCAGATCCGAATGCGATGCCTCAGGCGTTTTCGCCTCAGTCTCACTCCGATTGTGGATTCCCCCAGGGCTTAAAATCTAGGCTCAGGGGAAAGGTCTTTCTGGCGTGAAAAGACCAGAGAAAGACCAAATGGAGTCCAGAGACTGGAAGGAGAAGACGGGGTCAGTGCCGGGTCTGATCCCGACTGGAGGGTCACAGGCTTCCGAAGAAGCATGGTTACATAAAAAGGCAACAAAAGCAGTTGAGATCGTTTGGCTGACCTGAAAGGCGAAGTCAAGAGCAGCCGCACCTGGGCTGTGTGTGGAGGGGGGAAGAGGGAGATCGCCATAATTTTGGAGTCTAGTCTCTTGTTGTATTGGGCTGTGGAATTTCACCTCACCCAGGAGAGGTCAGATCCAATGATAATTGGGTTTAGAATATTTGCAAGCCGTAAGGAAGTCAGTCCAATGCATTGTCATCCGAATGTCTGCTGAAAGAAGCAATATATACAAAGAAGACTGAAGGATATTCTGTACCTTTGTACAGATTCTTTGAAATCATCAGCCCTTGCTTTCAGCCAGAAACCAGTGACCAAATTGTGTCCCCATTGAAGAGCCCGCAAAGTTTGCTGAATTGGGTTTTATGTGGGGGGGAAGATTTCCTTTTTGAAAGTCATTACCGGAAACTGCCCTATGAAATTGACAGGGGTCCTTTACTGAAGGCATGTTCGCTCCTTTACCAAGGCCTTCTGTCGGAGAATCCACCAGAAGATGTGGTTTCTGCATCAGAAAGAATCCCCCCCGCTTGAGGAGTGTTTCTTATCTTAAGAATTTTTTTTTATTTTTATTTTTTCACTTTATTTTGAGAGAGAGAGCGCGCATGTCCCAGTAAGACATGGGCAGAGAGCCAGAGAGAGACAATCCCAAGCAGGCTCAGCGCTGCCAGCGCAGAGCCGGAGGTGGGGCCTCCATCTCACCAATCTGGATATCATGGCCTGAGCCAACATGAAGAGTTGGATGCTTTGCTGACTGAGCCCCCAGGCGCCCCTATCTTAAGAAATCTTACATGCCCGATTTCATCTCTCTTCCGGCTCCAGTTATCTTCTATATGCTATTCAATCCAGTTCCTATATTTTTATCCAGACTTCCAGGCTCAAGGCATATAGCTCCTCCTGGTTGTTCTTTAGTAATTTTAAACTTGGAAATCTCAAAATAATTAAACTACAAAGCTCCAGGGTATGACTCTAATGGGCGTCAGGGAATTCATACTCCTTCTTCCCCAGCCGTAAACTTTGTTCTCTGCTCATTGAATGGTTCCACCAGGCATCCCTTGCCTAAACCAGCACCCTGGGATTCACAATAGATGTTGGTTACAAAAATTAAATGAAAGAAATGTTGAGAAAGAAGATACATTTTTAAAATAGCCCTTTTTCCTCTTTCCCCCCCCCAGACAGGCTGTATATTAGTTGAGTTGTGAGCATTCTGTTCTGATTTTCCCCATAAATCAAAGAGTGTCATGCTAACATCTGCAGCCTGAACATTTAAAAAAAAAAAAACACAACAGAACAGGGGTACCTGTGTGGCTCAGTCTGTTAAGCAACCCACTTGGGCTCAGGTCATGATCTCATGCATCGTTCATGAGTTCCTGCCTGGCATTGGGCTCTGTGCCGACAGCTCGGATCCCGGAGCTTCAGATTCTTTCTCCATCTCTCTGTCCCTCCCCTGCTCATGCTTTCTCTCTCTCTCAAATATAAAATCAAACATGTAAGAAAATTTTTTTTTAAATTTAAAAAACAAGTCATTTCTATTGAAAATAAATAACTAACCTTTAAAATCCTTGCACTATGTAGCTTAAATCTCATGAGACTGGTTAATGGAATAAAAATATTTTTCATCTGTATCACTCTAAAACACTGCGAACATGTTACTTGAGCCTACAGTTTTCCACTGGGAATAAGCCAGAGGTTGTATAAGCTTCCTTCGCCCTCTTAGAGCCTATGGCTGGACCCAGGAATTAAGCTTATGTAAGACTGACCAAAAAGAAAAAAAAAATACAAATTTTAATATTTTTATGTGGACACAGGAGTCGTCAGAAGGAAAAGTGAAGACCTGAAAAGGCTGTTAGGCCCAGAAGGTTAGATATACTTTTGAAAACAAGGAACAATAAATTCTGGGACTATGACAAGACTGGAGGCTTGGGCTGGAGACAGGAAGTTGTGGCACAGTGACCGGGACATAGATGGCGGAAACTAATGGAAGTGAAGGGTTATTTGTTTTTTTGTGTTTTTTTTTATGTTTTTTTTATTTATTTCTAGGAGAGAGAGAGAGAGACAGCATGAGCAGGGGAGGGTCAGAGAGAGAGGGAGTCACAGACTGAAACAGGCTCCAGGCTCTGAGCTGGCAGTCAGCACAGAGCCCGACGCGGGGCTCGAACCCACGAACCGCGAGATCATGACCTAAGCGAAAGTCGGTCGCTTAACCGACTAAGCCACCCAGGCGCCCCAAGGGTTATTTGTTTGTACAGATCCATTTCGGCATTGACTCCCGGTCTCTGGTGATAAGAATGTTCTCCTCCTGGTACCTTTCTCATGGGAAATTTTATGAGCTGTTTCTAGGTAAAAAGGGGGGGGGGGGCAGGGTCAGAGAGCCCTCCTCTATCTGTTGTTTCCCAAGTAACTTCAGCTCAAAAATAATTTGTATCCCAAAGTGGTATGTTCTGAACTCCTGCAAACTGAAATCTTGTGTAGAGGAGGCAAAATTTACCTCTTCCCTCTTAGAGTTTCTGGCTGGGCCTGATACTTAAGTTGGCACAAGACAGATGAACATACAAATATATTTACTGGAAGTTTCATGTGACCTGCGAGCCCTCACAAGGAAACGAAGACCCAGAGAAGCAGTTAGAGTTGACGACTTATATACTGAATTGGACCGAGAGTAGTAAATTGTGAAAATGTCACAAGATGGAAGGGCTTCAGCCAGGGCGGTTCATGGTGGAAAAAGAGGAAAGATAAGGGTCAGCGTAACAAGGTTTCTACAGATTTCCCTTGGCATCAGCTGCCTGTCCTTGGTGAAAACAATGTTGTTTTCCTCTGGGTGGAGGGAGACATCTTCCATGGGGGTGGGGGGTTATCTCCTGTTTTCAAGAAGGAAATGGAGGTCAGAGCACACTTCTCGCACCTGCTGTTTTTCAAGTACTTTTGGCTCAAAATAATCCTTATGCCGAAGCGGCATAATTTAGGGGCGGCCTATTCTGTCACTGATGGGGTTCGGGACATGCTGCCCCCAAACATGGCATGTTAAGATATTGAATGTTTTAGGTTGGAGAAATTTTTTTTTTTTTTAAATGTTTTATTTATTTCTAGGAGAGAGAGAGAGAGACAGCGTGAGCAGGGGAGGGTCAGACAGAGAGGGAGTCACAGACCGAAACAGGCTCCAGGCTCTGAGCTGGCAGTCAGCACAGAGCCCGACGCGGGGCCTGAACCCACGAACCGTGAGATCATGACCTAAGCGAAAGTCGGACGCTTAACCGACTAAGCCACCCAGGCGCCCCTAGGTTGGAGAAATTTTGAGAAAAGGACATAAGTAGGAAGGTCACTCTGACCCTCTCCCCAAGCCTCCTTCCCTGAAACGAGTCATAAAAAGCCTCTTGTGCCTTCTCTATATGATTAGAGGGATAGATAAGGAGCAAAGGAGCATCTTTATCTTTAAAGACAAAGGGACGTACAGAAGAATCTTAACAAACAGGCCTCGCTGCTTCCCCTGGTTTATTAAATGATCTCACACTCTTTAACCTACTCTATTCTACACGAGTGCCCGCACTTCATCACACCTCAGATCTGTTTCTTTGGGTCTTCGTTTCCTTGTGAGGGCTCCTGTGTCCCATAAAACCTACATTAAGTAAAGCTGTGTGCTCTTCCGTTATTCTGTCTTTGTTGGTTTGATTTTCAGACCCAGCCGGGGACCCCAAGAGAACTGAGAAAAACTTTTTCCTCCCCTATGCTGCCCTTCACTGTATTATAAGCAGGAGTGTTAAGGTAAAAAGGGGAAGGTTTTATCCAATGAGCAAGGTGTTTAGGGAATGAGTTTATCTCAGAATGGGGTAAGGAAAGGAGCTAAAAATCCCATGACTTCTGGATTTGGTCCTGGGTATTGGCCTCTTAAGATGAAAGAAAATCATTTCACTCATATGTGGAATTTAGGAAACAGAGCAAATGCGCAGAGAGGTGTACCTGGGTGGCTCAGATAGGGAAGCGCCGACTCTTGGTTTCGGCTCAGGTCGTGCGTGGTCTCACTGTTCGTGAGTTTGAGCCTCCAATTGGACCCCATGCTGCTGGTGTGGGGCCTGGTTGTGATTCTCTCTCTCTCTCCCTCTCTCTCTCTTTCTCTCTGCCCCTTGCCCACTCTCCTGCACACTCGAAAACACATACACCACTCTCTCTCTCAAAATAAACTTTAAAAAACTGTACAAAGAGAAAAAAAAGAGAGAGAGACAAACCAAAAACAGACCCTGACCTATAGAACATACTGTGGTTACCAGAGGGGAGGTGGGTGAGGGAGGGTGAGACAGGCAATGGGGACTGAGTATACTTATTGTGATGAGCACTGAGTGATATACAGAAGTGTAGAATCACAGTACTGTGTACCAGAAGCTAATATAACATTGTATGTTAACTCCACTGGGCTTAAAATTAGAAAATAAAAACGAGGGGCGCCTGGGTGGTTGAGTGTCCAACTTTGGCTCAGGTGGTAGATCTGGTGGTTTGTGGGTTCGAGCCCCTTGTTGGGCTCTCTGCTGTCAGTGTGTCAGTGCAGAGCCTGCTTTGGATCCTCCGTCCCCCTCTCTCTCTGCCCCTCACCCACTTGTGCTCGCTTTCAAAATAAATAAATAAAATTAAATAAAAACTTTTAAAAAAGATGAAAGGAAATCAGGCACACAGGCTGCCCAGTCCACAAACCAAAGATTCAGTCTCATCCTGAGGGTACTTCAACCCCTGGGGGCGCTTGCAGTCAAAGACTAAACACAAACTGTTTTCTTGAAACATTTTAATTTAGTCCATTACTTTTGTATTAAAAGCAAACACAGGGGCGCCTGGGTGGCTTAGTCGGTTAAGCGTCCGACTTAAGCTTAGGTCATGATCTCGCGGTTCGTGGGTTCAAGCCCCGCGTCGGGCTTTATGCTGACTGCCAGCTCAGATCTTGGAGCCTGTTTCAGAGTCTGTCGTTCCCTCTCTCTCTGACCCTGCCCTGCTCACGCTGTCTCTCTCTCTCTCTCTCCTAGAAATAAATAAATAAATAAAAAACATTAAAAAAAATAAAAGCAAACAGAGGCACACACAAAACGTTATGTTTTTCTTTTACATGTTTATCTCCTGTGGCAAATTTCATTTATTTTTATTTTTGAGAGAGAGAGCGTGAGCACACACAAGCGGGGGAGGGGCAAAGAGAGAGGGAGACACAGACTCCAAAGCAGGCTCCAGGCTCTGAGCTGTCAGCACAGAGTCTGACACGGGGTGCGAACCCTCGAACTGTGAGATCATAACCTGAGCCGAAGTCAGACACTTAAATGACTGAGACCCCAGGTCCCTCTCTGGTGGCAAACTTTAAGTTTCTTACGCTATTTCCCCTCTTTCTCAGTACTACATAATGAAACTTCAGAGCTCACTCTGGAAACTGCAGATTCTTATTATTTCTGGTGAATGAAACTTCAGAGATATCAGTAGGAGAAGAAGAACCCCCGTTCCCACAGCTGCAGCAAAGCCCAGGCTCTTCTGCGTGGCGATGAACTTCTGATGGAGTTGTGAACCGAGAACACTCACTGGAATCTCTCCATTGTCCAATGTGGAGACTAGGTGGAATCAAACAACAGTGGATCTGAATTCTGTTGTTTGGGGGACTTCCAAGTGTTGGGGAGCAAGAATTTCCTGTCCCCTTCAAGGTCCTTGTACCCAGACCTACCTTCTACTCTGACAGGAGACAGATTAACAGGAGAAAATAAAATTTAATTTTGTATGTACAGGGAAGCCACACGGACATGGAAATTCCAAAGACAGCTAAGATGAAATATATATGTCGCCCTGAACTAAAGAGAAGGGGGAGGGGTTTGGGACTTTAAAAGAAGGAAATGCAATTCACAGTGAGATGAAAAAGAGTCCACCTTTGGTAAACAAATTTTGCTGGGCCACTCAGGAACAATGTGACATTCAAGACTGATCCAACAGCTCTTGCTAGGTTCCTCCTGGGTCTACCTTACTAAGTCCGTAGTATAATGTAGTTATCTATGATGATAGCTCTTTTTTTTTTTTAATATTTTTATTTATTTCTAGGAGAGAGAGAGAGACAGCGTGAGCAGGGGAGGGTCAGAGAGAGAGGGAGACACAGAATCTGAAACAGGCTCCAGGCTCTGAGCTGGCAGTCAGCACAGAGCCCGACGCAGGGCCCGAACCCACGAACCGCGAGATCATGACCTAAGCGAAAGTCAGACGCTTAACCGACTAAGCCACCCAGGCGCCCCTCTATGATGATAGCTCTTGTCCTGGAGTAGATCTTCCATCTAGATTCTTCTCAGGGGAGTCTGGGTGGGTCAGGTGGTTAAGCCTCCGACTTCAGCTTGGGGCATGATCTCAGGATCTGTGAGTTCAAGTCCTGTGTCAGGCCCTGCACTAACGGCTTAGATTCTCTCTCCTTTTTCTGCCCCTGCCCCCTTTCTCCCTCTCAAAAATAAACATATTTTAAAATTAAAATATTTCTTTCTCTTAAATAAATCCTTTTCAGATAGTTGTGGGGAAGGTAAAGAGCTTTTCCTGAATCTGCTGGGTTTTGATCACTTTTTAACTTGAAATCATCTTCATGCCAAAGTGGCCCATCTTGGGGGCATCTACCCTTGGCAGCTATAAATAACAGATTGTTCTATTCTGAGAATCGCCAGAGGAAGACTTGGCATTTTATTCTCTGTACCACAGAGATAAAATACATCCCATCGCTGTTGGACTCTATCTGAATATACATTGTAGGGGAGCAAAATTTTGCAACCCTGAAACATGTTTCTTTGGGATGTGCATTTATTTTTAAGAAGCAGAAGACTCGAGAAGTTTTTCTTTTTGCCTCTCTCCCAACTGCTTAGGAAAATTTAGATGGAGGACGTGATCTAGGAAGGGAGCTATCACCATACAGAACTACTGTATAATATGAACAGGTATAATATGAACTTGGTATAACAGAAAGGGAGGAATTTAGCAAAATCTATTCGCTAAAATTCCTTTCTATGCTCCATTGTTCCTATATGTCCCAGCAAACTTTTGTTTACCAAACATTCACTCATTTTCATCTTCTTGTAATTATCTTCCTTCCCTTACAGTCCCAGACCTCTACCCCCTTGTTAGCTATGGATGGCATGTAAGCCTCAACTGCCTGGGGGCCTCATATTCTTATATGATTGTCTCCTGTTTATCTGTCTCATGTCAATTTAATTCATAGACCATCAACAAAACCTTGAGGCATAGGGCAAAGATTTTCCTCCCCAACAACTGCTTGGAAATCTTTTTCTTATTTAAATGAATACCAGGGCCAGGAGTGCCTAGATTAAAAAAAAAAAAGAACACTGCAAAGGAACGTTGACACTTGCATGGGCTGCTTTGGGCTGTCATCCAAGAGCCCCCCCGGCCCCCCCCCCCCCCCCCGTTTCCTCTTCTAATGGGAATAGTTCAGTGGAGAAGTTTGAGAAACATTGAGTCATTTAATGGCATGATGGGAAAATTCTTCATTACTTTAAAATGTACCCCAAGGCTGATGAGACTGGAAATCCGTTATAATTTCATTCTTTTGCTTTAGAATATTACGCAGGCTTTGTTACTTGTCTGGGACAAGCCATAATTTCTCTGAGACTCTGTTTCCTTATCTGTAAAGTGAGGAAAGTAACATCTATTTCACAGAGTTGGGATTAAATAAAGTAGTGTATGTAGAAGAATTTTTAACACTGAGTAGTGCTCTCTATATATTAGTCCTTATTACAAAACAACCACAGGAAGGGGTAACAGTTGTTCACATGAGTTACCCTTTTGCAAGAAGGTGTCTTAGGACTCCCTAGCGAAGAAGATTGTGCTGCTCATGGGGACTCTTGCAGATACAAAGTTTCTAGGCTGTTTAGTGTTCGGGAAATCCCCTCAAAACGACTTGCCTTCAGCAGGAAGATGATCATTCATATGGACACCATAAAGTAAGTTTTAAGCTTCTTTGGGCTTGATTTTGTTCACAGATGTGAGTTATTAAAAGGCTTGGATGCAATGCTTTTTCAAGAGAATAAGCATATGATTACAAGGTTTATATTAACTATTCACGATGTTAAGCGGTAACCTTACACCGCTTGTTTCAGGGCATACAATTTCCCGAGCAATACTACATAGCAAATGAAACAACTGAAAAGCAGAGGATCTTCAATTTCTCTACAGAGAATAAAAAGGATGAAACTTTTAGGTGAAACTTTCCGATGAAACTACTCAATTGAAGAAAATATGTTAGCAACTCCGTAACCCACGAATAATGTGTTTACTTTGAAACTTAATTTTAGCTTTTCATCTGACCGACCAGCAAATTGACTATTTAGAAACTATTCACTATTGTAAAGGAGAAAGTGACGTTTCTGTGTTCATATTCCCAGACTTAGAAGGGTTTGCTCTCCTGGACCTAATTGGCCATTGAGGGGAGGCAACGGCATTCCAAGGCGAAAAGGTTAAAGGAAGGCGGAATCTCAAGGCTCTACCTTGCAAGTTGGTAGTGATCAGCAAAGGGCTTTGGCGTAGTTCCGAAGTTGGGTCAAGGTAAATTCAGTTTTTGGTTCTTTCAACTACCTATTGTTTTGTTGAGTCTGTCGTACTGTAACGCAACCAACGCGCTGAGCACAGGCTGAGGCGCAAAATAAATGTTAGCTACGCTGTTGCAGTCACAGCAACTCTTACCTGGAAATGTAGGCTGAAACCTAGTTCATGGGAAGGCGTGCTTTCATTTCGAAGGAACCTGAATCCCCAGCTTGCAAAAGCACTTTAAAACCTGCTCTTACAAAAGTGACCTCACTTTAAAGGAAAGGTCTAAAAAGAAAAACATCTGTGATTGAGGATTACAGAAAAGTACGGAAAGGTGAATAAGGGAAAGAGATTAGCATTACAGTCTTCTAGCCGAGGAAAAACGGATTGAAATCTAACCAATGAAATCGCAAGTCTGGAAGGTCCTAACCCTTCTGGCCCAATCAAGGGGAGGCTAGATCTATAAATAAGACTGCCTAAGACTTTCTGAGTAAAGCTAAAAGGACATCATGGCCCGCACGAAGCAGACCGCCCGCAAGTCGACCGGCGGCAAGGCCCCGCGGAAGCAGCTGGCCACCAAGGCGGCCCGCAAGAGCGCGCCGGCCACGGGCGGCGTCAAGAAGCCGCACCGCTACCGGCCGGGCACGGTGGCCCTGCGCGAGATCCGGCGCTACCAGAAGTCCACCGAGCTGCTGATCCGCAAGCTGCCGTTCCAGCGGCTGGTGCGCGAGATCGCGCAGGACTTCAAGACGGACCTGCGCTTCCAGAGCTCGGCCGTGATGGCGCTGCAGGAGGCGAGCGAGGCCTACCTGGTGGGGCTGTTCGAGGACACGAACCTGTGCGCCATCCACGCCAAGCGCGTCACCATCATGCCCAAGGACATCCAGCTGGCTCGCCGCATTCGCGGGGAGCGGGCTTAAGGCCTGTGTTCCTAAGTGGACCATTTAAAGGCTCTTTTCAGAGCCACCCATGTTTTCACGAGGAGCAGCTGTATCGGCTTCTTAAACCTGGTGTGGGTCCGCTGTTGTGCGCCGGTGTCGGGGGTGGAGGGAAAGCTCGTACGTGGTGGGTACTAAAAACCTGGACTCGACCCTACCAAGTCGTTTGTAACGTTACATGCTACTAGTACAAGATGTTAGCACAAATCGGTATACAGAAACTAAGGGGGAAGGCCGTCACGTGGGCTTGTGATAACTGCTGGGATGGGAATCGGTTTTCAAACGATTTTAAAGTTAACGAGGACTAAGCCGGACGCAAGTACTGGTTTAAAAGTCTTCCTGGTTTAGATTTGTATGGATCTAGCGTCTAGATCCACCCTATTGCATGATACAGGCGGTGCAAACCGGAATAGGAATTTGAAGTAAATATTGGGGAATTTTTGAGATGTTATTGCTCCAAAAACCAAAGGCAAAACAAAACTTCCACAAAGTGTAGGACGTAAAGCGATGCAAAAAGAAGAGAAAGTTGTCCCCAGCAGGCGCTTCAGATAACCTTCCGTACGCACGTCTACAACTGAAAAGTGATAACCATCCCCAAACACCCCAAACAGGTGAACCCATACTTTTGCGTAATTAACTGGTTAATCTTAAATGAGGCCTTTCGATTGGCTAAGAAGATATTTGTTCTGAGAGCCACTAAGGGAGCGCGAGCAGAAGCTATTATTTACATAGACTCCACCCCTCTATGACGGCACTGTTGGAAATTAACCAATAAAAATGCAGTCCTGTGCGAGCCTTCATTTGCATACAGGCTCTATAAGTAGTGCGTAACCAAGCCGCTTGAATGTAGTCCGGATCGTTTTGCGTGTGTGGCGTTTCTTCCAGCAAAGATGCCTGATCCAGCGAAGTCAGCTCCTGCTCCCAAGAAGGGTTCTAAGAAAGCTGTCACGAAAGTGCAGAAGAAGGACGGCAAGAAGCGCAAGCGTAGTCGTAAGGAGAGTTATTCCGTGTACGTGTATAAGGTGTTGAAGCAGGTTCATCCAGACACCGGCATCTCGTCCAAGGCTATGGGCATCATGAACTCGTTCGTCAACGACATCTTCGAGCGCATCGCCGGTGAGGCCTCCCGCCTGGCGCATTACAACAAGCGCTCCACCATCACGTCCCGGGAGATCCAGACGGCTGTGCGCCTGCTGCTGCCCGGCGAGCTGGCCAAGCACGCCGTGTCCGAGGGCACCAAGGCCGTCACCAAGTATACCAGCTCGAAGTAAGGGCGTGCAAAGGACGCAGTAGAACAGCTACTTTTACCCCAACGGCTCTTTTCAGAGCCACTTAATTTGTCACAGAAAGCGGCTGTGAACACTAGTCCAAATGTTAGGTTGGCTCTTGGGTTGGGAGGTTTCGTGGTCTCAAGTATTTGGTCATGGATTTATGTTAACGACCGCGATCAAGCCTGCCCTGATTGTTAAAACCTGGAATTTCCTATAGCGTGTCCCCCCTAGTGGCGAGATTCTTGCTGGTAAAAATTAGTCCTCAAAATGGTCTCTCCTTAGTTCTAAAATTGTCAGTGGAAACTGAGTTCCAGGTAACCAAGTAAACCAGCTAAGTACAGTGCTGGGGTGTTTTTTTTTTTTGGGGGGGGGGTACTGTTCTGCTTAACTCTTAGTCTATAAGTCAACACGAAACTTAAGGTGAGCTGGTATTTCTTAGCTACAGATAGGAGCTCTCTGCCCCACTGTCTTCGTGTCCTAATCTGTAACAAATGTTTCCAACGATTGTCCTAAACAGTCTCCAATAAAGTCTGCTTTAGTCTGTTGGCCCACGTAGTTATGAACTAGTAATCCTCCCCTAACTTTTAGCCCAGTGCCTTGGCCAGGTACTGATTTTTGTGCCCCCCCTCCCCCCCCCCATGGGGTATTTTGTCCTATCTAGAAACAAAATTCTTCGGAGGGATGCCAACTGGCGTCTAGTGGGTAAAGGCCAGGGATGCTGGGAAACCTAGCATAATGCACATGACTTCAGCAGCCAAGAATTCGTCTGGTCTGTAACCTCGGTCCTTGGTTAGACCAAACCTTCAGACTTCCCTTTGGTCAGGATTTCATTCTCATTTGGGTCAAACCTTCCCTCAGCCCAACCACCTAGCCGATGTTCTTGTTTTTGGTGAAACTGAGCTAGAACACAGATTTACTGTGATTGCTTAGTCTCCTCCACAGGAAAATGATCTCCAGGGCAAGGACCTTGGCTTCTGTAACAAAATTTCCTGCCTAGAAGAACCACTTGGCTGCTTGCTAAATACTCCCAGGTGCCTCTCCTTGAGTTTCCTGATCGGTTGGAGGTGGGGAACTGGGGAGGTTTTTAGTGTTCTCAGATGCATTAATTTTAAAAGGTAAAGGTGCAAATGGCCACAGTTAGTATATAAGATGACTTTCTAAAAATCCCTTAGTTAAAAACTTGCATAACCGAAGACTAACCCTGACAGGCTGGTGAAGTTTTACCCAGTAAAACCTACCTTTAAGGTAAAAGGAAAATTCTTAGCTTCAAGTTGATTTATCAAGCTTTGAAATTAAGTCACTAATCAATGTTAAGGAATTGACAAGTTGGTGCTTCAAATGAAATTTATAATGTAAGAGCTCAAATTTATATCCAATTAAAGTTACATAAATGGGCTGTGTATGATTTCTTTCTTTCACTGGGAAATGAAGATGTTCTGAGTCATTTTCCCTGGCGAGAGGAATGACTCACTGAGAATTTTAATTTCCCAGTGAAAGAAAGGAAATCACTATGCAGCACATTTTATGGTTGGTCTGTTTTCTCAAACCATCGGACCCTATCTGGTCTCCTCTCCTAGGATCCTGGAGTGCCAGGATTCTCTTCTCCCAGAAGACTATCAACCATGTTTTTCACGGTCTTTTGAAGTTAAGGCGTTATCAATAGACTCACCTCATCAAAAGCTATCACGAATTACTCAGGACTAAAGGATTAAGCCCCAACTCCTTATCCTGAAACTAAAGGCCTTCTGCCATCTGGCCAAAACGTCCCTTCTTCAACTGTTCATTTTCCTCAGCTCTCTAGCATAGCCAAAATGCTGGACCCACTGTCCTGATTGGGCCTCTTAAGTTTCTCTTTGTGCTTTTGTTATGTGGTCTGTATTCCGTTGCCCTCTCAACTACTCAAATCTTGTCAACCTGGTAGTTCTTTAAGCTTAAAAAAAAATCTTTTAAAATTATTTTTGAGGCAGGGGAGAAAAGCACAGAGAGGGAGACACAGAATCCGAAGCAGGCTTCAGGCTCTGAGCTGACAGCACAGAGCCCGACGCGGGGCTCGAACTCCCAGACTGTGAGATCATGGCCTGAGCCAAAGTCACTTAACTGACTGAAGCACCCAGGGGCCCACAGGTCTTTAAAATCTTCCTCGAATCTCCCTCCTTGAAGCCTTCCCATACCATTCTAGCTCACAGGAAGTCCCTTTCCATGCAGTGCTTAAGGCTTTGTTCAATGCATGATGAATTTGTAACGAAGTGTAGCTTTGCGAGCTGTGTAGCCTTGTTCCTTAATTTCTTTTTCCTTGTTTTTTTCATTTTCTTGTGTTGGTCTTCTATTTGAAGACCGAGTCTATTTCCTTTTAAAAAAAATCCTTCTTGGGATCTCCAATGAAGGCTGTTCCAGTGCCTATTATAAAATAGCATCTCAATGAAAGTTTGTTGACTGACTGCCCAGACCATGGGACACCAGAAAATGGATCTGAAGGTGGTAAGTTCATGTAAGGTTTTTTTTCTCTACTTTTTCCTGATTTTTCTTGCTCCTTTAACCTGAAACCGTTTTTGTGATAATTACTGACCCAGTTAAAAGAATAGCTGGAGATTAAAAACTCCTGAGAGAGGCAGAGAGTACTGCACGTGACACCCTCCCATCATCCAATGTATCTGTGTAGCCAGAACAACAGGATTAAGACTGGAGCCTTTTCAGCCTCATTTAGGTGTTGCTCTTCCAGACTTGTAAACTGGAATGAGGGAAATGCATGCCAGAAGATGAAATATCAGATCCAGTGAGCATTGCAGATGTAGAAGCAGGCTCGGTCTGGGTCAGGTCAAATGTCATTAAGCTTAGCTAGTCAGTCCATTAAGGGTCTGATCTCACGGTTCATGAGTTCGAGCCTCCTGACAGCTCAGAGCCTGGAGCCTGCTTCAGATTCTGTGTCTCCCTCTCTCTCTGCCCCAACTCCACTCTGTGTGTCTCTCTCTCAAAAATAAAAGTAAAAAAAAAAAAAAAAGGGTAGTTCATCATTTTAAGGATTGGTGAATGGATTGTGGTATCTGTATAAACTTAAGAAGATGGCAATTTAATCTTGCCATAATTTTAGACAAATACCTCATTTTAAGACTGGATGCATTTCCTAAAAGTGACCTAAGAGTCAACACATTTAAATTTGGATGACTATAATTTAAACACAGGGCAAAAGATGGGAAATAAGTTATGTGATCTCATTTGGGGGGGCATGAAGTAGGCATTATCAGAGGATGTCAATCTATTTTTTTTTTTTAAAGTAATCTATACCCCACGTAGGGCTCAAACTCCCAAGATCAAGAGTCCTATGCTCTTCTGACTGAACCAGCCAGACCTCTCCAAAGAATGTCCATCTTTGACATAGAAGGAACAAGACTGTCTTGCGGGGGGGGGGGGGATTACTAGAATTTACTGAAGATTATTTCCACACTTTGTAACTATAGCTGAACCATCCTATGATTTGGCAAAGATAGGAAACTTGATAAAACATTCCAGATCCTGTACTGTCCTCGCTTCTCGGCCTTTTGGCTAAGATCAAGTGCAGATCCTGCACTGTCAACGTCAAACCTTTGAAAAGTAAAAGCAGGGTTGTGTTTTCATGTGTAATCAAATCTCCATACCAAACATAAAATGTTAGCAAGGCAATGAGATGGATAACCAGATGTAAATCCTTTTACTAGAGGGGATTACATCAGTATACAGATAATTATAATTCAAGGCAATACACGTTGTTCCCAAAAGAGGGGGAAGAAGGAAACGTTATGAATTAAGGAGGATAGGTTACGTCTGGCTAGAAGGTTCAGGAAAGTTCCATGAGGATAGCTTCTGCGTGCCAGGTCCTGCCTTGTGTAGGTGATGGGGATATATCGGCACCTTCCTTTCCAGGGAGGTTCAGCTGTAATATTTGTAACCAATATATTAAGGATCCTCTGGGAATTTTCTCTTCCTGGGGTTGACGATAATCGGGCAAGTGATAACCAGCCTTTCCTCGATCACCCGTGATTTAGCAGAAAATAGCGTTGACTCAAAACGTGTCCAGTCTTCAACCATACCTTGACGCTTGCACAGCTGCCTTCTGACTGGGCTCCTTGCGTTTGCCATCTACCCTCTCTGCTGTCCACAAAATAGCCAGAGTAAACTTCTTGAGACAGGAGTCAGCTCCTGTTCCTACCATGGTCTCCTCCCCATCTGAATTCCCTGTTCCCCGTTCCCCCCTTCCTGCCCCCCCCCCACCGCCCCGCGCCAACCATGGCTCCGGAGGGAAGGTGGAGTCCTTACGACCACCCACCTACTCTCCTGCTTCCCCCTCTCCCTTTAGTCTGCTCCACTGCATCTCCCTGGTCTCTCTCTTCTTACTGGGATACACCCAGACCCTCCTATCTCCGGGCCCTTCGCTTGCCATTTCCTCTTCTGGGAAGGCTGTCCCCCCAGATAGTTATGTGACTGGCTCCTCATGTTTTTTAGGTTTCTGCTCAAAGACTTCCTTGACCGGCTTATGTAAGATAAGCCCTCCTTCTCCAACTTCATAATACTCTTTATTCCCCTACCTTGCTTAATTTTCTTCCGTGTGTCATCTGAATACTAATGGGTTTCTTTATTACTGAATCAGAGCCTACTGCCCATAAAAACTATTCTTTGTTTTTTAAAATGTTTACATTTTTGGAGAGCACGAGCAGGGGAGGGGCAGAGAGGGGGGACAGAGGATCTGAAATGGGCTCTGTGCCGAGGGGCTGACAGCAGTGAGCCCCATGTGGGGCTCGAACTCACAAACCACGAGGTCATGACCTGAGCCAAAGTCCAATGCTCAACCAAGTGAGCCACCCAGGCGTGTCCCCCCCCCCTTAAAACTACTCTTTTCTGCTTGCTATAACTCTGTGCTGAGCGCATGGCTTCTCAATTAAAGGCTATTTACCACCTTCTCTAGTATCTAGGGTTGTCTGTAAGACAAAGTTCTGGGCCAGTGAGTTGCGAATGGGAGGGATCTATATTATTTCAAGTTTGTACCCTAAGAAGGAATAAGTATGCACTGACTTTGTTCCCTCTCCTCTGGCTTGGTCGCAAATGTGATACCAGGCGCTGTGGCAACCACTTTGGACCCTGAAGCCCAAATCATGTGATAAGGACGGCCGAACCGCTCTGAACTGCTCTACGAGCTCTGGACAATGACGTGAGAGATAAGCTTGTATCTTCTTTAAGCCACTGTTTGTTTTTTTTTCAAGATTTGTTACAGTAATTCAGGCTGTGCTCTGGCCCATTGTCTGACTCCTCTTCCCTTCCTAGAGTATGTCCTGCAAAGGCAAGTACTTTTTATTTTTATATCCCTACCACCTAGGACTGTATCTGGAATACAGTGGGTGCTCCATGAATATTTGTGGGATGAGTGGATTGATGAGGCAGAAGTAGTCTGAAAGGGAAGTCAGAGCTCCAGGGCTGTTTAGAAGTTTCACAGTGTAAGTTGTTGGATATTTACGCTAACCTCTACTAGTTCAGAAGCGGTAACAGGGTGGGAGGAAGCTTTTGTTTCCTCTGCTCCTCTCAGTACTTCTGA